CACCCCACTCCCGCTCACCCCCACCCAGGGCTGCCGCCTTCCTTGTGCTCCTCCCTGCTGCCCTTCGGGGAAACAGCCCCAGCTGCCAGCACCTCTGCTCTCTGCCCTGTGAACTCTGACCTCCCTCTGCTGGAAGTGGGCATCCCAGGTTCAGTGGGCTAAACAGAGGCCCCCAAAAGACATGTCCTGTCCCAACCCCCAAAACCTGGGCATGTGAGTTTATTTAGAGAAAGGGTCTTTGCAGATGTGATTAGGTAAAGGACCTGGAGGTGTCCTGGATTTGGGACGGGCCTAAGCCCAATGACGAGTGTGGCTCAGTGGTTAGAGCGTTGGCCTGCCCACCGGAGGGTCGCGGGTTCGACTCCCGGACAAGGGCACATACCTGGTTGCAGCTCTGATCCCCACCCCTGGTCAGGGTGCGTGTGAGAGGCACCAATCACTGTGTCTCTGTCCCATTAATATTCCTCTCTCCCCCTCCACCCTCCCTTCCACTTTTTCTAAAAATCAATGGAAAAAACACCCTCACTCCTTGGTGAGGATTCAAAGAGAGAGAGAGGAGTAGGACACACAGAGGAGAAGCCACATGACGACAGAGGCAGAGACCGGAGGGGGGCAGCCGCGGGCCCAGGAATCAACACCTGGAGCCCTGAGAGGCGGGAGGGGCAGGCGGGACCCTCCCCTGGAGCCTCCGGGGAGCACGGCCCTGCCCCACCTGGAGTCGGAGTTCTGGCCTCGGAACTGAGGGAAAATAAGTTTCTCCAGTTTTAAGTGGCTGTGGCCCTTTGTCGTGGCAACACCAGGGCACAATACAGCTGGAGGGCAGGGGTGCCAGGGCTGGGGACCCCGACAGGGTGAGCCAGTCAGCTACAGAGGAAGGGAGAGGTTCCTGGCCCCCCTCCCTCACCTCCAGGAAGAGCTTGATGGCCTTGGAACAGGTGGCCCCCGTGGTCCCGCAGGGGATGTTCTCGGTGACTATGCGGAAGGTCCCGCTGGTGCTGCCGTTGGCTCCGCAGTAGTCCTGGGGCGGGGAGAGGCCGTGCGCGGGTCAGGCCGGAGCCCGGCAGCCTGCGGGGCGGGGCGGGGCCTGGGGGCCGCATCCGTACCTGGGCCAGCGTGTACTCGCAGCTGCCCGCGAAGCTGTACCGCTCGGCGTCGAACGTGATGAAGTGGCCGTCCCCGTAGGTCACACAGGTGCCCAGGCAGGGCCGCTGGCTGCACTCCCACCTGCGGTTCCTGCAAGTGCTGCGGGGGACAGAGAGGGACGTCCTGCTCGCGGGGCACGGCGGGCACGGGGACAGGGACCCGGCCCCCGCCCGTCCCTTCACGAGGGGTCCAAGGAAGGAGCGCTTGCCGCCCTGCTGCCTGCTGGGCGGGTGAGGCCGGGCCCGGGGCGCCTCCCAGAGCACGGGTGGGACCGAGTGGGGCCTTCCACGGGGAGGGCAGCCTCCGGCCTCAGCTCCCCTCTGCCTCCTGCCAAGGACGCCCCGGCCAGGGCCAACTCAGGCTGCTGTCCCCGGGGTCTCCCTCTGCCCCCCCAGCCCCTCCCCTAGGAGACCTGAGACCCACCAGGTGTTGCAGTCGACCCTGATGGTGTCCCCGGGCCTGTAGGCGGCACCGTTGTGCAGACAGGGGCAGTCTTCCTCGGCCACGCAGCCTCCGCTCCCGTCGGACACCAGCCCCGGGGGGCAGACACAGCCCGACACACAGTGAGTGCTGAACTGTGGACGGGGTGGGGAAGGGGGTGCCCGTCAGCGCCCCGTCCCCTGCTGGGGCCCAGGGACACCCAGGCCAGGGCAGGCGCACCCTCGGGGCGGCAGTGTGGCTGTGCCCTCCCCGCTGGCCGACTCACACAGTCCACGTCCAGGGTGTGGCAGCTCCGGAGGCACTCGGCCCCGGGGGCGCCCGCCGAGGCGTTGGCGCAGTCCAGGTACACCATGGGGGCCGCGCAGCCTGTGGGAGGAGGGCGCGCTAGGGGCTGGCCACGCAGCCAGGGCCCCCCCAGGCCCACAGAAGCCCCTCCCGCTCCCCCCCCAGCTGGTGCCCGTCGGGCGGTGGCGGGAGGGGCGGTACCTGTCGTGGTCTGCTCCAGGGCTCCCAGGCAGCTCAGCTTCCCGCCCTCACACGAGCTAGGAGAGACGGGCGGGTGACCCCGGCTGCTGCCCGCCGCCCCACGGACCCGCCCCGATCGCGGCTGGGGGGGCGCGTGGGTCCCCAGGCCTGGCCACAAGGCGAGGACGGTTCCTACTCCCGGGGTTGCTGTGAAGGCCCCAAACCCCACAGAGGTGCTCGGGGACCAGAGCAGAGGTGCAGGTGGGGGGCTGACAGGACTCGGGGCGCTGAGGACATGGTCCAGCTGGTGACAAAGCTGCCTCCGGCTGGGAGGGTGTGGGGGGCCGGCCCCAGAGTGAGCACTACGCACCCAGCACCCCCGGTGGGCCCTGGACTCTCAGAACACCCTCCCGGGCCCGGGGAGAGGTCCCTCTTTACAGAGGGGCTGAGGGGTGGGCCGGGACCTTCCCGCCTGGGGCGCCCCGCCCTTACCACACCACGCCATTGTCATGCACCACCTCCCCGGGCGCCACCACGGAGCCTCGGAAGTAGCAGGGACAGGCCTCGGCGGGCACACAGCTGCCGGCGTCGTCCAGGAAGGTGCCGCGGGGGCAGGTGCAGCCGTCCACGGGCACGAAGGGGACGCCGCAGGTGACATCGGCCTGGCTCAGGGCTTGGCAGGTGGGCTGGCAGCTTTCCACCACGTAGGCGTAGATCTGGGACTTGGGGCAGGTGCTCATGTACTTGGCTGAGAGAGGGGTTGGGGACGACACTCAGGTCGGTGGCCCGGATGGGGTCTAAGTGGCCCGAGACGCAGTTTCCCCTCTGGGAGTGGGAACGGTAGGAGCGCCAGGCTCTTGGTTGGGCCAGAGGAGGAAGCACCAAGCTCCTGCTGAGGACACCAGGTGGGGGTCGCCGCCCTGGGGTCCCTAGCACCCTACCCTGTCCAGGGAAGCCGGAACAGGCCACCCCGTCCCCC